ACCGAGAGATATGATTTCCATTGAGAAATACTAGAATTAATCCTGGTATCCCTCGATTCTCTCTGGTTATTATTTCCCAATTCACGAATAAAGAAACAGTAGTCCCAATCACGAGGATTCTGTTGCGACATCGCTTTTCACAAGAGCCTCGATATTACACAACGCTACCGTACTTAGCTGCACGGTCGACCATATTCGTATATTGTTCGATCATATTCGTTTTATAGATCGTTGCCGTTAAAACGATATTTAACGAGGGCATCGTGGACATCGTAAAATACGTTCATACAAATGGATCCGTTGGAAAAATATGCTTCTTCGTCGAAAAATCTCTTCAACACGCGCGCGCGCTTGTATGTACATATCTCGCTTTAATTAACCTAGATCGAAGCAGATGCATCTTCGTCCGGTGCGCAACTGCTTGATCGTTCCACGTGGTTGATAGAAGGAAACGACGCGGCGGTTGCGGCTACGTATCGAGGACTGGCTGTACGCGAACTTGTAAATGTCGATGCGCGCGATATCGCGCGGAGATAAGGATCAGAACGGAGCGGAGCGTTTCGGTACGAAACCGGAACAGCGACCGCGGATCAGCGAACATAGGCACACAAGCGAGCACGAAAGAAAGAAAGAAAGAAAGAAAGAAAGTTTGTCGGGGAAGGAGCGCGAGATTTTCGAAGCGGAGAAGGCGCGCGCGAGCGAGACACAGGAACAGGCTGCGAAGAGAGATTCAAAAGGTGTTCAACAGCCCAAGCGTGGGCTACTCGTGATCATCATGACAAAAGCTCCGGGCAAACATCCATTCAATTTATTAGCTTATAGGCATGCCTACTATACACACCACCTACGACAGACACCACCACCAACCGCCTATAATGCTCGTAACATTATGGCCAGTCCGCGAGAGGACGGTTCGCGCGACCCTCGTTTGCTTCTCGCCTCTCTTCCCGCGGTGTTCCTCTCCCTTTCTCTCTTCTCGCCGTACAGTTGCACTTTTTACGACGTAAACTTCCTACGGTCGCGATATTTCTGCCACAACGAAAGAAACGGACTTGACTTTGCCACGCTAACCGCGACTTCTTTCCAAATAATCGGCGGAATTCCCGATCCGCGAAACTCCAAGGATTTCCTCTGCCGATCGTTTTGAAGTTCGCGCGCGATCGCGAATGTACTACCTTGGTACTATTGGCGTCAGCGTCTCGACCGGACGAAGTATTCCGTGCACGCATACGTCTAGATACGTCAAGTACCACCGTTTATAGTTGCATGATAGACGGCAGACCACTTTCGTTCCTCGAGACGCGATTTTCAAGTGAAATTTGATTTGTCGGCTTTTTTCCGACCAAATCGCTTCAAAATATATAGCTGATCGATGAAGAAGATAATAGATCGTCAAAATGATTGACGAGACATCTTTTGCTTCAGAGGATCCCCGAACGTTACAGATGAACAATTTTTGATACGCACCGGAAATGTTTGACTTTTGGCGAAGCAGTATTGAAAAATCACGTATAGAAAAAAAACGAACGAGTCGGTCAAGAATCTAACAAGTAATAATTGTGATAAATCATACATTTGGTGTTCTCGTAAAGATATATTGAAGTACCAACGTATCGTTTCAATTTAGGGAATATTACAATTGAAT